ATAAAGATAAGGGGAAACTCATAAAATTAAATTAAACTTTCCATTGACCTCGTGCTAGCTTATTAATGAAAGAATAAATATTGATTAGTTATGCGGCGGTTAAAGAAGAATCGATTCTTGAATGCACGTGTGTATTGTGTCCCTCTAACTCTACACTACACGTGTCGCATTATAAAGGAGAAATCTAGTTGAGGACTCATGTGGTAGTTGTTCAATGGCCGTGTTTACTACCTGCTTGCTTGGTACTTGAATGACCCTTCCTGACCGGTAGTATGGGCGTCAGCGTAATTTCCAACTGTTTCTCTCTCGAGCAATCGTCGTCCATGATGATGATCTACTTCGAACATTGCGACGTTCGCGAGATCCATTCTGTGGTCCCGAATTCGTTCACATCTGCGAAAGCAGGTGGCTGACTAATAGTTAGCCAAAATGTCACTTTCTGTTGGCAACTTCCAATCCGGTCTTGTTTTTCATGGTAACTGCCTGTACCCTTTGTCAATATAGCATCCGATGCCTCCAAAATCCAAAATATTTGCTGATTCTCGCAGTGTTTTGACTCAGACTCATGAAAGTCGTTTATTATATGAAGTGTCCCTCCTTTCTCTGCTGGTTTAACACGCTGTAAGCTTTTCTTTGTTACTGTCAAACTTGAACAGCAGGAAATTATCATCTGCCAGAAATCACGAACAAAGAAGCTCTGTGATATCTCCATCCAGAAACCTAACCAGAAGTGAACCCATAATCGGAACCCTAGCTGCTCTTGTAAAAAAATCGCAAAAGGACACCTCCTTTGGACAATATGCTACAGCTTACTGTGATAAATTGGCGTTGGTCTACCAAAAGCTATCTCAAGAACCCAGGAAGTCGGTTCAAGCATCGAAACCCAGTATAAATGCCTCAGAAACTGAGTTTTTTCTTGTCTGCAATCAGATCTCCGGTTGTAATAACCGTCTTCGTTGCCCTATGAAAATCCTCTCTTGTATCGCATTCACCACAACGTAATACTACCATCTGGTTATTGTATTAATTCTTTCTTAAAGGCCACCGCATGTTATCATTCAGCAGTAGGTCCAAAGTAAGTGATTCGAGATTGCCTAATCTTTAGAACGCTTTCATCGCTAGATAAAAGCCTACGACTAAGTTCTGGTGACGTATTTGCACAATACACCTAACCTTTACTCGTCGTGTTAATTTACATTAAATTCTGTCACTTTGCACGGCATCACTTGATCTCTCGCCACTTTCATCAAACGATAATCAGCATCGTAAACTTTTACCCATTAAACTGTGCTTCTATCGAAAACGACTTAAATTTTATGATGGCCGGAAGTCGGTCTACAATTTTTCATCTGGTATTTCAACACCACAATAGGAGTAGTCATTGAAGTCAAAACAAGTTCGTGAAAAGGAGAGCAGAATCCTCGAATGGCAGGACTCACACCATTCTTGTATTCGACGCGGTGTGCAGTTCACACTTTCTTAGTTCCATATCTTTCTATGGTTGTCCGTTTGCAGCCTTCTTCGTATGAATATTTGATTTAACAACAAATCAGAGTAGAATTCCATTAATCACCTATGAGAGAGACATAAAGTCGTATTTGCTGAGGAAAATACTTAGGGACAACAGTGCTGTCCAAGTTTTCTGAGTCGCCGATCAAGTAACAGGCGCAGATCTTCGGGCTGAACTATTTGACAAGATAGTCTTCGAAGTGCCTTTAACCCATTCGTGCTTAACATCGTTATGGGTTTGGTGATTTTTCAATAGTGGACGATACTTCTCGAAGTAATTTATGATTCACCTCTGCCATTTTATGCGGTGTAGGATGAGTCATATATGACTCGCTTCGTTGCTAATGTGTTGTAACATCTGAAGTCTAATCTTATCATTGTTCATACATATTCTTCATATGTGCCCATTTGTGCTGTTGTTCTAGTTGCGATCTTTAGCATTCTGTGCGACCTAATTATTAGTGATACATTATTACCAATCCAAATTTTGAATGCACAAAAATCTTGGTGGGTTCTTGTGTTGCAGATGCTGCAGCATTCTTGGTTCATCTACTGAACCAGTGGAGTGATACAGTGTTATAGAAACATATCGAGTCGTTCAAATACCGGAGGCCATGTAGACAGCAATGTCAGAGAATAGGGAATTTTTGGAAGTACTCTATGTAAATTGAATTGAATGATTAGAGAACTTGTTCAGAAACATTTCACTTTCTAGAGATCCGTTGGAAAACCTAGTTATGGAATTAAACGCATTCGAGAATGTAATATTCCAATGGAGTTAAATAAATGTTTGGGGAAAAAGTACTGAAAACTCTAACGTACTTTATTCTGTCGCCATCCACTATTTTTTAGACTCCTTTTCCCACGTTCTTAGTGCATGCATGGCCCGACATCACATGCTGTACCGTCCCCAACATTTCTTTCATTGGTTTTGTTTTCTTAAATCCATAATCCACAAAGGTTTTCTGATTTGCTTGTGAATTTAGCGGCTGCTTGAGAATTTTTGTTCTCCTTTATGAATGCTGGTGAAGTTGATTCTTCCTCGAATTCTGGAATAACTCCGCTAGAGCTTTCCCACTTCTGCACCACCGACCGTTGTTAATTGAATGCAGCTTCTCAGACAAGTGCGTTGTCGGTTTTCTGACTCGAAAGAATGGAAGAATTGATTTGCCCTGTTAGGAATTGAGCCATGCTTGACGCTTAATTGTGCAGCATATTCATCATCGCTGTACCTACTCCGTAGAAGATATTTTTACGTAACTAGACATCACATATCGTCATAACATCACATTTTAAGCTCGCCTCACTTATTCCATTCGATTCGTTTCTTCGTACCAATCATCCACGAAAGTCCTCGAATGTTTTTCGACCTCTTACTTGAGGCTTTTCATTCTCATTATGAATTTCGTCGAATACTGATCGAGTCAATTCTCTTTGAAATTATTAGTTAGCCTCGTTAGGGCGTTGCCACGTCGCTTAGAAAGAGTGGGCTTCTCCCAAACAAACCTGATACCAATTTCTTTGCCCCGGAGAGACGAATTGATCCCGGTGCGTGCGGGGTCAAACCATGACCGTTCTCGTGGTGAACGGCATCACTACCACAGTGCCCCCTTTGTGGAAGGCATTGAAAGCGAACTTAAAGCTATCAGCACTTTCTTGAGCTGGAATGCTAAAGCCTGTATCACTACGGCCAAACGATTTTTTCCGGATATGACATAGAGGGCGTTATATTTCCGATGGACAGCTTTTTCTACAAGTCGACGTTCACAGCTGCACCATCATTGAATGTTCCGATGCCAAACGTCTGCAGCTGTGATCGCCATCAATTTTGTACAAATCGATTTTCTGCTAGAGTCCTCATTCTTCTGTTAATAAATGCCATGTTCAATGTTTCGTGATATTGAAAGTTCAGTGTAATAGTCGATTAGATCTGTTCTGTGATTTTTCTCAGTTCCTATGTCAACATGAACTATCACACATTCTCATCACGCGAGTTGTCTACGGAGATTTTCTGGACGATTTCCTAACATCTGTGTGATCTCTTACGCTGTATAGACGTTGGACAACAGGACACCGAACATTTGCACTCACAGCTCAAACTATACAAAATGAAGAAGCGCTTAAGTCCAGCTGGAATATTCGTCAATGCCCCGTACTCCTAGTGCTTGTTGATGGCGTTGAGTAACAACCATTTTGAGCTACTTAAATCCGAGTACGTGGTTACAGTTTTCAACACGAATTGTATGCTATCGGAACTGTGGACTCCAAAATAAGTACTTAATGTTTCACTACAATTCGTAGAATCTGACGTGCTCCATTCGTTTTAAATCAAGCGCGGGAAATTGTGCAATTCAAAATATCCGGGCAGAACTTTGTTGTAGGTGGTGGAGGGTTTTGTTACTGTGTTTATTATCTTTTAATTTGCCTACATTAGAAGTTTCTCATATGTACCAAATGTAAATACTTATCCATCTATCCCTTCACCATGCTGATGTTCAGCGCGAATTTTGTCTCCAATAAATCTTAAGTCCTATTCGTCTGAATCCAGAAATACTCTTCCCTACATCTCAACATTCTCGTGCTTCTCTTTCTCTTTTTTCCTATTTCCTTATTTCTTCTTTGTTTTTGCTACCTCTATAGGTTAAGTATGTATTTAATAAGCTCAGGCATCAGTATTTCATCATTCCCTTTAGCCATATGAAAGTATTGTTTTGAGGGCTTAGACTCCATATATATACTCAAAATGCGCGGCCAACAATAAAACCGAAACTAGTAATCGATGCCTTTTGGCGCACTCTGCCAGAGTCCGTCACGTGCGTATGGGGGAGACCCTGGTTCATTTTATGTCTGAGTTTCGAAAGTGCTGTTCGTATTGCCTCCATCACTATTGTTAGTGGTTAGTTTCTAGTCCAGTTGTGAATAAGGTTCTAGTTTCCTCATATGCTATTATCGGTAGTTTCTCAATGTTTAATCTTATTTTGGCGCAGTGGCCGAAGGCGCCCCGCAATACACACATGGGGTCGGTCCCGCGCGCATGGCTGACCAGGCTTTCCATCCCTCCTGAGTGGCAGATTGGTCCCACACTTGTATAGGAAGATAGCAGCGCTGGCTCGATGCATCGGTAGGCCAACACGAGACATTATAAAGGCCCGATAGGCATTCAATCACTTCTATCGATGCTTAATGAAATCAAATGCATGGCGCATCTTTCAGGGATTGATGATCGCCAAAAGCTATCCTTTATCTTTTAATCCTATTTTTCTTGTCGTTTTTTGTTATGAAAGCTCAGTGGACAGCATCGTTGAGCTTATCGTTTTTGCAGAATGGCTTTACGTCCGTCGCATGAACATAACGTGCCAAAAGTTGATATGACTGAGGAAGCTCACTTGAAACTGTACAAGAATATGGCGAAACCTGAAGTGATCGTTTAAGTATCTCTAGGACGATGTGTTCTATGTTCTAGACAGTCAACTTCATTTATTTGTCAGGATATGCGACGTCGTCGTAATGAGACCAGTGTGGAGATTCGCAAACAAAAGGGCCAAGAGCTGTTAATGAAGCGCCGAAATCAGCTGGTTGAGGACGAGGACGATGGCGAACTCTCAGACATGGATGTAAAATCCGTGCCAGGTTTATTATTATGCTTCATCGCAGCATTACATACGAAACACTTGAAACTTCAAACTATGTCAGATTATCGATCCAAATAAGCCTGTAGTTGGAACGGGTGGGATTCTCGTACAAAATTATAACAGAGGCCCTGTATTTTATTGATTAGAGACAAATCTTTGCTTTTACTAGTTGATCTGCTCCGATATTTCACATTTCTTGGGCATGGTGATTACAACTCCTAGACAGAATTTTTACATGTGGTTCGGTAGTCTGACTACAACACTAATTTGACACCTACCAATTATATATTCCTTTCATATGAATCGTTTTCCTTGCGCTTCAGATACGACTCGGCTGTCATACGGCCAAATCATCAACATTCTTAGCAACAATCCCACTTTGGAACAGACACGCACCTGTTTTGAAGCACTTCGCCGTACACTGTCGCGTTCGAAAAATCCTCCTGTGGATGAGGTTATCAAGTGCGGTTTGGTAAATGTATTGGTTCAGGCCCTTAGTGTTCAGGTATGGTTTTTGTTGCATCTTCATCCTTAAATATTTCTAGTGGTCGCCCAGTTATTAACGAGCTCAGTCGCTTGTTTAGACTTTTGTCAATACTGCATATAGTTCTTTTCATTTTTCCGTTTTTTTTTTCCAGACTTCGTTTAATCTTTTCATTCCATTCTAAGTCCTTATCTTCCAGGATGATAAAGTGCAATTCGAAGCTGCTTGGGCACTGACAAACATCGTGTCTGGTACTTCAGAGCAAACTATAGCTGTTGTTGAAGCAGGCGCTACATTACCTTTGATTGAACTCACCCAGAGCCCTAATCCTAACCTTTCCGAGCAGGCGCTATGGGCAGTTGCAAACATTGCCGGAGATTCTGCGCAGCTAAGAGATCATGTTATTCGTGAGTCAGCCTTTCAATCTATGTTGGAATCCTGGGAAAGCAATAATACAGTCGCTTGGTATCTTTAACATTTAACAGTAGTATTTTCACCTCCTCATGCCTACTGGGCTACGGTCTCATGATATCATGAATGTCTTTGTGATGATGAAATGTGATGTAGAATAGTGGGTTTATTTCTTGGCATTGCTACCTAAGCTGGGAGTGAGTTCGACGCTTCCACTGCAGAACCCACGCAAGATTACTGGTGCTAAGAATCGCTAGTATCCCAGAAGACATTTAGCTACAGGGCAGTAAACCTTCCCGCGATCCACAAACGATTGCTAATGCCTGTAGTGGTGGCCTGGGAGAGTTATCGCTCTGCTACTTGGGATCGTGGAAGGGTATTCAATAGCAACACCAAAATATCAGTCAACATGGACTGGAAACTGGGTAGTTCCTGAAAGTGGGTGGTTCTGTTGTTACAATCAGGCAGATCCTAATGTGCCTAGAAATGAAACCGTATGTGACGTTTAGGTTGGTCTGAAAGGCAGGTTTATAGGACAAGTTATCGCACATAAACAATAAACAGTAAATTACACAATAGGTTAATTATTTAGACCATATTTTTCCGGGAAGGCATTGATTACCAGTATTTCTTATACTTTTGGTTGCCTTTGGTGGTGGAAGTGAAGCACGAAAACAATGGAAGATTAAAGGTCGTTCTAGCAGGATTTGCTGATTATGCTATGTATTTTCATGTACTGAATTTCACTTGGTTTAAAGCCATATATCATTGAGTAACTGTGATAAATGGGAATTTTCATGCAGAAATCCTGGAAAGAACTGGATTGAAAGCCGTCCTGAGGAAACCCACTGGTCAAACAATCCCTCTTTCCACATCAATTACTTTTGATGACGTGTTGGTTGTATTTCAATAGTATGCATGAATTTCACGGAAACTCTTAAACAATTTTACCTTAACCATAAGAATATGACCTCTAGTGCTTCTCATTACATGACAATTCTTCGCAGTAATAATGTTTGTTCAAATTCAGCATGTAAAGAAACGATCTTGTAGAGTGCAGTGGTGTGGAAGCTTTGATGGCGTTAGTACACCGCTTGGACTCGTTGGCGGTGGGATGTGTTCAAACCCTCGCTTGGGCCTTTTCCAATATGTGCCGTCATAAAAACCCGCATGCACCCATTCCAGTGCTGGATGTGTTAAGCAAAGGATTGGCGAAAATCATTGCTCATACTGTACGTCCTCGTTAAAAAAGTTGTGGGAAACATTTATGATGTTCTTCCCACCTTTTTTTTGGTTATAAAATCTTAACAACTACCATTTTAGGACGCGCAAGTTCGACAGGACGCGTGTTGGGCCATTTCTTACCTCACTGATGGTCCAGATGAACAAATTGCTCTCGCAAAAAAAAGTGGTTAGTACACACAAGACGTGTTTTGAGCTATTCTACACACTGTTTTCACCGTTTAGGTGTGCTCCCATACGTCGTGGAACTTCTTCGGGACTCTGATACCTTGGCCGCACCTGCACTTCGGGTATTTGGAAATATGAGTACGGGGAACGATGAGTTAACACAGGTCCTCATTAATCTGTATTCCTTCGTTTTAAATTTCCTCTCTTTCTCTCCCTTTCATGGTTTTATTCACTTGTTTGTGTCCATATTTCCCTTTTCTTCACACCTGTGGAATGTGCTTCAAGGTAGCTTTGTAGTGCGTGGTGGATCACGGAATCTTGGACGAAATAATTCCTCTGTCGGAACGTTCTAAGTCAACAACTGTCGTGAAGGAGTGTTGTTGGTTGATATCGAACGTCATTGCGGGTACTCAAGCCCAAATTCAGGCAGTTATAGATGCGGGAATCATGCCATTTGTCATCGAAGTGTTACGTTCTGTTAGTCTTTCGATTTGTTTATTGTCAAGAAATACCTAAAACGGGCAGCTAAATGTGCTGTTTTATCAATGTGTTCGCTGTGTTGCACCACTGTGGTTTAGGGAGACTTCAAGTGTCAGTTTGAAGCATCATGGGCTGTTTCGAATTTGGCACAGGGTGGTACCTCGAAGCAGATTCTATCTCTTCTACAGGATAACGCCATTCCAGCTATGTGTAGTGCACTCACACATAGTAATGTAGATTTGCTGACCAATATCCTCGAATCTCTATATACCTTACTGACCACAGTGTCCTTATGGTAAGGCGTAGTGGTTTATTTTAGATGTATTCATATGTCTAACCAAATGAAATATGATAAAAAATAGTTGCCCTGAACGTATGGATGAGGTTCGAGATGCTGTTGAGGAACATGATGGCCTCAATTACTTGGAAAGTTTGCAAGGGTCCGAGTCAGACAAGGTTTGCCACACTTCCTAACTGTCTGCTACATCATCTTTGTTACACTAGTAATCCGCAAGATATTTCTAGGTGTACACTGGTGCTTATCGTATAATAACGGACTTCTTTGCTGAAGATGAGAATCAAGAAGAATCAAAGGTCAGCGAAGAAAACCAGCCTGTACAATATAACTTTTAAGTTTTCTAACGATTCGGCGAGTTCTCATACTCGGTGTTCTGCTCATCTCACCTTTTTATTCGCTTCTTGTCACCATATCTTAGCCTAATTTGTCCATAATATTTTGCACGATGAGCACGAAGAATGTTTATTGTGAGGAGATCCTCCATACATTTGGTGGATGTCGTCATATGCTTATGTGCATAGCTGTCAAATAAAGATGGAGTTTGATGGTTTTCTGCGAATGTCATTACTAAGTTAGCTTATTCTACAAAAGTTAAAGCTAAAGTCTACATACCTCACAACTTGGACCTAGAGAGGCGTTGTCACTCTTTAGGTTCGTATTTGTTCAAAGGACCTGGATATATGTCGCAATATAGCCGAATATGTTCAGTCTGACACACATCCAGCTTATTCCAACAGGTTTAGGGATTCCACAGAATAACGATATCTGTACGTTAGTGAACATAAAGAAGTATGTGCTTCCCTGGCTAGACATCAATACTGGGTACTAATCCTATTATACAATTCTACCTCTCGCTTGATTACTTGGACGACCCGTCCTCAGTGGTTGTGTGGGCCCTAGCATATCCTGCACTTTTCGGAGTTTTGCTGGTTTAGCCATTGTTTCCTTGGAGTCCTAAGCTAAACCTAGCCAAAGTCTGCCCCAGGTCGTCACCACCACAGGCAGTCAACCCATATGGATCAGAAGAAAATTTGCCACCATGCGACTTTGATACCAGGACGGTGGTGGATCCTGGTAGTTGTTTACTCTTAGCCGGGCTTACTGATGGAGACGCCGAACTCAGCTTCGGGAGACCGTGTCGGGGGTATGAATTCCCCGTTGCACGTCGCAGCCCGACACCCAGGAATATCTCTCAACCACTGTGAGGCGGTAAAACGTTGGAAGACGATATAAAATATGGTCACATTAAAGCAGTGACATGGTCATTGTTTTCTATTTTTACCTTCTAAACAAATACTCGGCATATAGAGTTGCAGTGCATCGTCCATTCTTATTCTCCAAGTACCTTATACAATTCCAGAAACCACCTCAATAACGAAATTCTTGAAAAATTACAAGACATAAAGTGCCACCAAAGAGCAAAATTAAAACAGACGATAGAACAGAACAAGTTCTGCGGTGGATTGAACTAGTAATATCAAAAACGGAAGACATATCTCAAATATAGCTCAAAGGAAAATAGACAGGAGAGAAAAAAAAACGGAAAAAGTGAAAAAATATAAACTTGAGAAGTTGCGAGAATAAATGGGTTCACAGCTCAATTTCATTCCTCTCATAAAGTGTTTTGTAGTGGACGGATCTCGTTACAATTTTGAAATGTTGGGTCAGTTGAGATCATAAGGAGAATGTAGCGCTCGATTGAGGTTAACCACCCTAATGAAGATTGAGAAGTTTCAGGAACGTAAGAATAGAGTGGAAAATCCGGTATTCAGTATAAATCCGATAATTGGTAAGTGGAGGCTGCTAAAATAAAGGATGCAGAAATCATGCCACAATCATGCAGAACCGGTTCTCCACTACTACTCGTCGATGTGCGGAGCACACTGGAAAATTTGTAACATTCGGGCTGTTGAATCAACAAATGAATCTCTTCTACTTAATAGTAAAAAATGCAGTTGGTAAACCAAACTTTCTTTGACTCTAAAGCTCTCTCGACATTTCAGTGGCTTACATCGCATTTTCTGTATGGATTGGCTTCCATTGGTTTGAGAGATTAGAAACAGGCTTCCTACTGTTTAGCCTTAAATCTAAGTTGTTGGTCATACTGATTTAGGAATACATAGCTAGAGCCGATCAACAACGACGTGGGCACTAGTGTAAAAAGGTTTGTTTTATTTTATTTCACACGACCCGTCATTTTCGATCTACTGTGCGGATCCTAGTACTTCTCACATTCCATTCGTTTCCCCGCACCGATCGCCCACGCAGGTCTCTCAACTTTTACGTGTGTCTTCGACTGCTGCTTGAGAATTTGCATTTCATTTTGAATGTCGTAGAATGCTGCTCGTCGTATTTACAATCGCTTTTGAGAACAAGGAATAATGTAATGGAATAGTGTCGTAGTGAAAGCTGATAGTCTACAAATACATCTCCTAATGCTGCCTTTATCTTGAGTTTTGTACGAATGAAATGTTCCATTCACGCTCAAGAAAACGAACACCTTCGAACAATGTAGCTGTGGTGGTTTCAGGTCCAGAAGTCCACATGGCGATCGACTAGGCTCGAGACTTTCATGACTACCTTTAGCTTCAATGTACTAGTCGGTGACCCACGCTGTAATGAGTTTGAAAGATCATTTAGCGGGTTCAAACGTTCTATTATGCAAGTGATGTACAAATGCCGAAGTTTCGACCTAAGTCGATTACTAAAGATCAGGTACACTGTCGTACATGGGAAGATCCCAAAAATCAGGTTATTCTAGGAGGTGGATCGTCTCGACAACAACCACTAGACAAGAGCCGTCGATAAATGGGGTTTGCGAGATGTTAGGAGCATGTCGGGAGGACCAGGATGCAGGGATCAGAATTCTCCACGAAGACCATAAAGTAAAAAGATGCTCTAAGGGTCACTCGATAGGGTAAAATTCAGTGAGTAACTCTGGCAAACGACAGGTAAAAAGTAAGGAGTTTGCTCACATAAGTCACTAGTCCACCAATGGAATGACAGATGATATAGGTGATTTATGACGGATTTCCAAAATCGATTAAAAATCGCACTTGTGATTCCAGTCTTTCTAAAAACATAATTTGAAAATAAGTACGAACTTACATAAAACTCTATATAGATTTGTTTGTGCTCAACGGGTTCAACCATGAACTGTGCTGACAAAACACCACGAGAATCACATCGTAACGATACCTTAAAGAGAAGCTCAATCAGAGGGATAAATTTCCATGGCAGTGCAAATAAGGAAACAAACTTTGTTAGCAATAGCGAACGCTGCAGTCATATTTTTGATAAAGCTGATGAGGTACTGATGAGTGACGGGTTCCGCGCATTGTAATCGCTCAAATTGCTCCGAACAACGAGGAAACTTGGTCTAGAAATCGGGTCCAAAGGACTTTAAACACAAGCGACAAACAATTCCGAATACAAAAAACGTTGATTCTAAGATTTCAGAGTTCCGAATTATGAAACACTCGTTTAAATGAACTTCGAACAAAATAATATTGAAGTATCACTCTAGTTTATCAACAATGTAGTGTCTAAATCAGAATGTTCTTTTTTAGCTCAAAATTAGCTGACAAAAAGGCGAAATGGAGGATACGCATGATCTGGTGGTGAACGAGTTAGACCCCGGAAAGGGTAATAGAGCATTCGATCCACACCGCAAACACCTTCAGTCCGGAGTTTTGCAAATATTTCAGCATAAATTATAATAGGCAGTAAACAAAGAATTAACATTGCGATATCTCAACATTATTGTGGGTGTAGTGTCCATTTTATCGTGCATAAAGCGTTATGAGTCTTCACAACTCGACAAGATAAACTGACCATTTTGAAGAAAACAGTCAAAAAAGAAAGTCTTTACGGTGTGTGAGTGGTTACAAAAATTCTGCTAAAGCCAAATTTCTACTTACTCGCTCTATTATTATTTTTCACGGCACGGTAATTTATTGAAATAAAACCACTACGATACTGCGATATTTGCAAAACTTGGACCCTAAGCCAGATCGAACAGGCGATTAACCTTTCCGGAGCTCACCGCACCACTTAGGCCATTGTTGTGCCTTTCTCTCAGCTAGTTTTCTACCTAACAGTGCCATCAGGAATTACCCGTCAACGGAAATTATCCAGGGAGAGCAAATCGGCATCGAACCCAGTTAAGCCGAGGAGAGACAGTTTGGTAACTGGGTTCAATGCCGATTGTCTACCTCTATGTCTTCATTTATCAGCAAGCACAATCCTTTCGTTAGTGCAAGTCATGGGACAAGAAACGCTATGCTCGGAAAAACGGATACCTTCCGCACTTCTTTTTAATGAATAAGCAGAATTTCGAAAAAAAACTTGACTTCGGAGCTAAAAACCTACCGCTACTACTAAGCTATCTAAATATTTTCGATTTCATTTTCTTATAAAACCTTCCTTGTTACTAAACAGAAGTGGTTAACGCTTACTTACCACAGCTGTTCCGATTTCACCTTTTGTTGTCAACAAAAGCTCATCACTAGTAACACTCAATGTAACAGTAGAACTGCTTGCATCCAATTCCTTTAATAGAACAAAGTTTTTGAACGTTAAAATTACCAATCCTCACCACCCTTGAACAAAAAAACGAATTTTGATGAAAAGAATAAATGTCGCGTTCACAGACTAGCGCTGAATAACGCAGAAAAAAAGTAGGCCATATGAGACTTTCGCAGAAGATTTGAAAACATTCACCTTTATGGCTTCCTTTAACATGTGTGGCTTCATAATAGCCTGGAAGGTCACATCTTCCGCATCGAATTCAAAATCGAGAACCTACAAGTGGGACTGCAAAATTATCACTGAGAAAAAGAAGCTAGTTAGGTCACGGTAAAATACCCCGTATTCTAATACAAGTGATTGAACTCACCTCCTCGGTTGTCAGAGTGTGCACTGTCATGTCAACAACAATACCATCTTCCTCAAGTACAAGTTTCACAGGCTCCTCGTCCCCGTCGTACGTCATTTTGAACGTAGCACCTGAGCCGGTATGCATGGCAATGCATTCCTATGAACGATAAACATCTCGCCGTTGGTTAATCCCTGAGGGATGCGCCGTGCATTCGACTTCACTAAGCATCGTTGGAGGTATTCGAATGAATATCTATCTTTTACAATGACTTGCGGTGGCCTACCGATGTATCGAGCCAGTGCTGCTATCCTCACAAACAAATCTGGTACCAACTTACAGACCTCGAAGGGATGGAAGCCTTGGTGAACCTAGTGCGCGGGATCGATCGCATGTGTATTGCAGAACGCCTACGACCTCTGCGCTACACGCGCCTTGCATTCCTATAGGAAAAACAACTGGAATTCAAAAGACCGACTTTCTATAAAAGTCAGCATAGCTAGTTGATATATATTTATATGATCTTATAAACTGATCTTCTTAAGCTGACGCGAGGTTGGTAGGTCTTCGTTGTCGTTGTCGTTGTTTTTGACGTTGTTGGTCGATGGCTGACGTTTCGGCGACTTCGCCTTCCTCAGAGCCTGGACGTATTTTATATTAGAATATTTTTATTATTCGGCGGAAAAAAAGAAAAAGGTTAAAGTATTAATGAAGATCAATCTTTCAAATAGACGCCATATCGAACAGAAAGGCCACTCACCGTGATGTTACGAGTCGAACTGGCCAACGCGTTGTTCACGTGGGGTCGCGAGCAAGACACACACCGGGGTCAAGACATCATTTTGAAATAGGGCGCCAAGTCACACGTGATAATGAGGCATTCGTCTTTCCTGTTCATCTTTGGATTTTTGGAATTTATCCAAAACGTCTCGAAAGTATTTTGCGTTGATATTTTCGATTCCTGCACTAGGATTCGCACAATCACTGTTGGTGGCTATTGGGCTTTCGTGTTCTGTGTGTACACAGAGAAGCAGTTTGTCGAATTTTAGCTTTTCCATCTAGGAGTTCTTTTGTGCGGACACAAAGTGGTCTACCCGTTTCACCAATATATTCCTGACCGCATGTGTTACATGCGATCAAGTATATTATACCTGAACTCATGCAATCCCCGTCTCTCCCATTAGGACAGATCGTAGTTTTCTCAGCTGCACAAACGATCATAGAGACGGTTGCGAAGTAACTAACGGCGTAGGGTATTCGGTGAGATGTCAATAATTGTTACGTAATTTTCAAGACCAAAACCACTTCTTCTTAAGCACCTCTTAATGGTGTAACTTACTTCATTCGATATGAAGAGTAGCTTAAAAGGGATCTTACTTACGTCCGAGTGGCTTCCACTTCGTAACCATTGGAAATGGCTATTTTTCGTGCCAGGTTTAGCAATTAAGGAAAAAGTTTGAAGATCTATCACGCGCCCAAAAAGGTTAAATCAAAGGACCACCTCTGGTTAAGCTTCAAATAACAACCCTGAAACAGACTGCGCACCAAGAACATCCAGAGTTACTGTGCTAGCAGGCATAACGTTCCGGAAAAATGCACGCTCATTGGTAGAATTGGGTCCGAGTTCCACGCCTAGTCAACCCAATTCTAAACCAATCCTGCGCAGGATCACGTGTAGTCTACATGAGCTTCAAGATCAGGTACGTTACAGGGTTGGGCTAGAAAGGTTAGGTAAAGTAGTACCAAAGGGGAACTACCACCAATACTCTTTCCACGAACTTTCTTTAAACAAGAGCTACCAAATAGCGATATTGACCCTGCATTTCGCTTATTTTTCGGACGAAATTCTCATACATACTTAATCACTACCAAAAAAGAAAAATAAGCTCCAACCTCACACACCAACAAAAATGTGGTAGGCGCCAGGTTAGAGAGCCTTTGAATTCAAAATCTGTTAGACTTTCTATTAGTGATAAAGGTGGAGAATTTGTAGTACTTCCTAGTCAGTTGGACATTAGGATAACAAAAGAGCACCTCAGTGATGTTTCTCTCTATCGAACATCCTCTGAAAAGGAATATAGAAACCAATACCGAAAGTTGAATCAAGAATGGATCAGCACGGCAAAGGCAGCGGGTTTAGAGCCTTCAGTTATTTCTCGACTTAAAAACAAACATCCAATTTGCCCTGTGCTTTACTTGCTTATTAAAACACAAGCTTACTTCTTCAGCTGATGATATTACATCAACGAACCCATCATCATTTAAAGTTGAACCTATCATCAGTTGTATAGGCGGGCCAACGAATAGAATAACGTAGTTTCTAAACCTTATCCTGACCCCGTTGCTAAAACCCATTTTAACCCATTTACCTAAGAACAGAATTTTTCTAGACCACCTACGGTGCGCGCAACCAAACGGCACACATGTAATGGAGTCATTCAATGTTATTTCACTTTATACTTTATACTTATACTTTATACTAACGTGTCGAATAACTCCGCAATGCAAGCCATTCTCGAGCTTCTCATAGAGCACGAAAAGAAAATAAAAATGTAAGGCTTGACGACTGCGCAGCTAATGACTCTCTTAAAACTGTCTTAGCTGTTTAATCTTCAGCTGGTCTGGAAAATATTTTGCACAAATTAGAGGGCTGGCGATGGGGCAGCGTTTAGCACCAAGCCTTACCATTGCTTTCATGTCTAAGGTGGAACCTCCAGTTCTCGATCGCCGACTCTTACTCTACTGTCGATACATAGACGACTGCTTCATCATCTGTTCCACGCAAGAACAGATGGATGAGTGCTTTGAATTGTTAAACCGACAGTCACAGTATATAAAATTTACACGAGAAAAACCTACCGAGAACTGGTTTCCATTCTTAAACATCCAAATGAAGCTCTCAGTAAGTGGCTATATAACAAAATGGTATCGCAAGCCAAGTAGTAAAAACATTCTAGTTCACTGCCTCTCCTCTCATCCTTCACCCATGAGAAAAGCACTTATCAAAAATATGTATCGTACGGCTAAAAATGTGTGTACAGGAGAAGAGGAAAAGAAGGAATCGCAAAACCTGGCACGAAAAATTGCCATTTTCAATGGCTACGAAGTAGAATCCACTCGGGTTAGAGGAAAACGTTGGGTAGTTCCCCAAAATAATATTTCGGACGTAAGTAAGATCCGCTTTAAGCTACCCTTCATATCAAATGAAGAAAGTCACGCCATTGAAAAGTACTTAAGAAGAAGTGGTCTTGAAAATTATGCAACGATTATTGACATCCCACCCAATACTCTACGCCATCAGTTACTTCGCAACCGTCTCTATGATCGTTTGTGCAGCTGAGAAAACTACGATCTGTCCTAATGGGAGAGACGGTGATTGCATGAGTTCAGGTATAATATACTTAATCGCATGTAACGCATGCGGTGAGGGAATATATGGGTGAAACGGGTAGACCATTTTGTGTCCACATAAAAGAACATCTAGATCGGAGAGTTAAAATTCGTCAGAACACTCCTCTAGATACTCATAGGGCGCAAAAGCACACCGGCGATGGTTTTGAAGTGCCTGTGCGGATCCTAGCGCAGGAATTGAAAACATCAACGCGCAAAACTCTAGAGGCGTTTTGGATAGATTTCAAAAATCCAAAGATGAACCGGAAAGACGAATACCTCAACTATCATACATGACCTGGCGCCCTATTTCAAAATGATATTTTGACCCTTGGGTGTGCCTCGCTCGCGATCCCACTTGAACAAGGTGGGCCAGTCTCACTCGTTATATCACGGTGAGTAACCTTTCTGTTCAATATGGCGTCTGTTTAAAAGTTTGACCTTCATTAATGCCTTAGCCTTTTTCCCACCGAATAATTAAAGTATTCCCATATAAAATGCGTCCAAGCTCTGAGGAAGTCAGCCGTCGACCAACAACACCAACAACGGCGACGACAACGAAGACGTACCTCGCATCAGCTATAAAAAAAGTTCAGTTTATAGGACCATATAAATAAATATAGTAACTGGAATTATTATCTTCTGTTAGTAAACACAATGATCCCAAAATTGGAGTATGGCAACCTTAAATGTCTTGTGCGTGATGTCTTTTAAATACTGTGAATCATGGAAACACAAAGAAAGAGAAAAATGGTTCTCTTTCTGCCAATTCTAAACAGACAAACTCCAGAAATAATAAGAAGACATTATAAAGTCCGTAAAATATTTTATAGAATACAGTCATTGCATACATTGTGGCCCAACCCAACACCGCACCAATTCCTTATAATGTCGTTCTGTTTACAGCGATTCCGTTTGTAATTACACTGGTTCTAACAAGGACTGGCCAATTCTTATTTGCACAGCAGCAATACCCTCCTAACGGTTTAACTCCTCATTGTGACTGGGAGATGTTCCTGCGTGTCAGGCTGCGATGTACAGCGGAGTGATTCATCCTCTCATCGGGGTTTCCCAAGGTGATAAGGAGTCCGGCGTTTCCATCAGGAAGCTTAGCTAAGAGTAAACTAATACCAGAATCCACCACAGTTCTGGTATCAAACTAGTTGCGTGGTGGTAAATCCCCCTCCCACCCCCCCACCCCCCCCAAACCAAGAGGGTGGCGATTGGCTGTGGTGGTGATGACGTGGGATAGACTTTTCCTTCGCTGACCTCGGGAGGCTAGGAAACCATAATGGCTAAAAGAATAAAAAAAGGATAAAGCTGTCGGCGTTGATCAATCCCTGAAGGATGCGCCATGTATTCAATCTCATTAAGCATCGTGTGAAGGTGACTGAATACATATCTGGCCTCTACGATAACTCACGGTGGCCTACCGATGTATCTAGCTAGTGCTGCTATACTCCCAGAGAAGTCTGGTACCAATTTGCCGACCCTGGAGGGATGGAAGGCTTGGTGGGCCATGGGCGTGGAAACTGATTCCACATGTGCTTTGCAGGACGCCTCTGACCACTGCGCCACATACACTCTACCTTAATGGCTAGACCAAAAAAACTCCGAAACCATGGAAATTATGCTGAAGACCGCACAACCAATGAGGACGGGCCATCTAAGCATCAAAGTAACTACAGCAGCAATATGTTGGGTGAAATAGTTCAATTCTTAAGAATCTCACGTACTATAACGAGATTAAGAGGAAGTCTGAAGTGCACAGACCGCTCGCGCAACTCGAATCTTGAAAACAAGTCGTTTGACAGGTAAGCGATCGCCTAAATTCGTAAACCTCATAAGAAAACGGACCAAGAGAAAAAACGAACACGATGTTCCTGGCGCTTAAGGGGACTAAAAGAACACATGACAAGTGAGTACATTACACCTGTTCACAGTGATGATCATCCACGAGGATACGTATCCCTTGAGGAGTTGCTTGGAATGTGCCATTCTGAATAAAAACTGGCTGAGATATAGCATAGAGGTATATGAAGCAAAGTGACGTAGACTAAAAATGAACACACTGCACTTTACAGAGTAAAATTTGTAAAGTACGATTACCTGTTTGCCATTCCGTAAACTAAGTTATTCTCATGAAATGCTGAGATTTGTGCAAAACTTGGGAACCTATGCGTGCCTCGAACCCACGATTACCTTATGGAGCGGGGGTTAACATTCAATCCACCACACCAACCAAGCCTTTGCTTCAAACCATTTTAAACTTTAAACTGAATCAATCCTCAGAAAAAGTAGAAATTTGATCGGACATAATTTTATATCATGCAATGTCAGATAGCGTGTGTGGCGCAGTGGTCGGAGGCGCCCTGCAATACACATGGGATCGATTCTCGTCCCCTGGTCCACCAAACTCTCTATCCCTCCGGAGTCGTCATATTGGTTACAAGCTTGTCTGGGAAAATAGCAGCACTGGCTCGATACATCGCTGGGACACCGCGATTCATTGTAAAGGCCAGATATGCATTCAATTACCTCAGATGATGCTGAATGAAGCTTAATTTTATATGCATATATTTTAACAGTTTGTTATATAGTACCAAATCTAAATCACAGAATGTAATCACCCTACCCATCAAATTCCATTCAGCGCTTTTTCTAAGAACTAGGTGGAAAGGCACCCAAAGAGCTGATGGCATTTACAACAGAAGCTATGGTGGTAATGTCTTCAATGACATGGAATAGGCTTCTGCTTGGAAAATAAGAAATACGCAAAACATGATAATCGTAACTCCCACACCTCTCGAAATGATATTGCTTTGATGATGGAGGCGAATTCGTGTACCCGAGAGTGTTTCAGCTCCAGTGCATGCAGCTGATCGGTTCGCACGTCACCGCCAGCCATTTGCATTCTGAAAATGTATACCAGATCGCACTACTACGGATTGCAGCATACAGGCAGCACTGTTTTCCAATTTAGAATCAAATCTATTCGGAACACGGGAACGCTTGCAGACATCACATACATATTCCAACGTTTATGAATATCATTTCAGCTCTTCGATGCTGCGAATGGGCCCAGGGGTGCAGAGACTTCCCTCGGTGGATGGTCACAGGAGGCTTTATGAGGATTTTAGGATTTTGATTTGAGCTCAGCCATGCGTGCGCCGGGGATGCTCGAGGTGCCTTTCGATGCTTGGGCTGAGTTCAAGGGAGCGAAAGCTTCCCTCGGTGGATACACTAGTGAGGCTGAATATCAATTTCTGTATAGAGAATATTCTCTGTAAAACACACAATATGGACGCATGAGGCGCAATGCCAGAGATGTCGTTCAATAACAGGCGCAGTTCCCAGGATCGACCTTCTATTAGTCTTGGCATTGGAATATGGATGAGAGGCTTGGTTGACCGGTACGGCTCCGAACCAGCGACACAGCGCCTATTAAATGCGTCGTTTTCTTGTTCAGCGTAATCAACCATATGCGATATTAATCAGCTGTTCTAATATTCCTCATTGGATGTCTCGTAAAAGAGCGGCTCTGAAGAACGCGATACTGCCGAGACGTCAGCTATTGTTGTATTGTATTGTGTATTTTTCTGTGGAAGTAAATGTATGCTGTATAACAACCTCGCGAAGAAGAAAAGAAGCTGAAGAAGCTTGTATTGCTGAAGAAGAAAACGACGCATTTAATTGGCGCAGTTTCGCTGGTTCGAACCCGCACCGGCCAATCAAGCTTCTCATCCCTTCGGGGTTAAGAAATTGCTCTAGGAAGCATTATGATTCAAAGGGGCCGGTTAGTGCCTATGGTGAACACTTGGGAACCTCCTAATACGGCTATTCTAATATTCCTAGGAAAAATCGACTCGACTAATATTCAAAGGCATTCCTAATGAAAACCAAAACCTTTAAGCAGTATCCAAAGCTATACACAAAAGGTTCAAAAACCTTTGTGGACGGTGAAAGCGAGGAATCGAATCGAAAGAATTGCTAGCGACAGCAAGAAATGGGATGTGGGCTTTCGTAGAAAAGTACGTAAATGAAACAGAGAAGATTTCACTTCATTCTCCATCTTTTCCCTATCCATTTTTCTGGAATTATCCCTAAAATGCCTTCCAACAGCCAGCCCATGTACTTGATTCCCATCTGACTGAAAAGTGCTCGCTACGGTTTTTATGTTAGCAGTTGCACATTTGCAAAACCAGCGCCTCATAAGCGATCTGCGATCACTTTGGGTGCCAACATCTTCATCTCTATAAAAACATTGGCTGGGAGAGTTACGACCCTTGGACCTCAACGAAATCATTCCTGCTCTATTGCATGGCCAACTCAGTTATACTTTTTGATTAGCACAAATTCGATTAGTCTCTGATTTATTCAGTTCTGTACTTCCAACATACTGTACTAATTGGTCAGTCCTAATACTACCTATACACATTTGTTACCTAGCTACTATTCTTGTATACATCTTTTGTTATTACTAAGATAGAGGTTTAATAACCAAAAACGTCCCAAGTCCTTCGTGGGGGGCCAAACAACCTCTACCATCGTGTCACGTTCACTCCACAGCACTCTCATCCAGAATCCGACGTCGTAGGTTCACCTGGAAGTTTTTTATACGCCCGTTTTCACGTCTACTATGCTGATCCCAGCACTTCTCATACTCCATTCGTTTCCTCGCATCCATCCATGAAAATCTTCCAACTTTTATATGTGACTTTTGCTGCTGCTTGATGATTTTCATTTCTTCTTGAATGTCGTAGAATGCTGGTCGAGTTGATTTTCTCTGGAGCCCTGAGATAGCCAGGCCGGAGCGTTCTCAATTGAACTGCAGACAGTGACCTTTCCCGGAGAAGACCGGTACTAATTTTCCGAACCCGGAGGGATGACAGGCTTGGTTGGCCCGGAGCAGAATCGAACTAGAACCATGCTTGTGATGACGGACATCACTACCACTGTGCTATCCGCCCCTATCTCCGTGTGGCAGATGCAGCATATAAATCCACCACGTAGCTTTACCCTGTAATTTCTCTGTCGACACTCATCCACCCCCCCCCTCAAAATAGGCAAAACTCTCGGTTAGTCGAGATCACGGTATAAATCCGGTTTCTGGAACTGCAAAGCTGAAACTCGAGCATTGCAACTTATAACCAACACCGATCACTGAACTAACCACTTGTTGCTCTATTTATTCCTCAGATGAACCAACTAAATTTCACATCTCGAGAAAATACAATCACTGATCCTGATTTATTATGTTCGAACTTCATTTGCTCCTCAATTTAACACACTTTTATCCCTTCGTCCTTTGTAATTATTTGGTAGCTTTTCGTATGATGCACTTCTTAATGATGAACTAAGCTAATTCCTGCGCCGGTCGGGATAGAAAACTTGGTTCGTATTTATTGAAAACCAAGGTGGCGAAAATCATATTTGAATTCGTGCTGTTAAGTGGATTCTTCGATTTTTTAACCGCTCAACTCATTCTTTGGGACGCGTTTAGCGCAGTGGTCGGAGGCGCCCAGCAATACATATGGGATCGATCTCTACGCCAGAGTCTCACCAAGCCCTCCATCCCTCCGGGGTTGGCAAGTCGGTTCCGGTCCTGTCTGATAGGATAGAAGCACCGGCTCGATACACCGGCAGGCCACCACGAGCTTTTTGGGTTAGATATACATTCAGTCGCCTCTACGCTTAGTGAAGTCGAATGCCTGGCGCATTCCTCAGGGGTTGATCAACGCCAAGAGCTTCATCGCCTTATTCAACTCATTCTTTAAGTTTATGCGATTTGTCAGCCCAGATATCACTAGCAATGGTTGACAATTCTACAACATAACATTATGAATTGATAGAATCTTTATTACACATATAAATTATGGAATATTGGCAGCCTGTATAAGACAACCATATGTTGGACATGTTAACACAGTGATTTGGTCGACAGCTTACTTACTTTCTAGAAAGTACACTATGAACGTAAGACATGGTCAATCGATACTACACCGGAAATTTGTGATTAAAAGACAATCGACTCATAAATATGTGTTAATATGACATGGCAAAATAATGAGGAATCAGCACAATATAAGCGATAGTGCCATCATCGCAAAACACAAAGGGAAATTTCAGAAGAATACACGAATGTCAGACTGGAAGAATCAAGAAGTATGTTTTGTTAAGGACAACAAACGGTCAGCAAATAACATATCCATACCAAATTTTCTGAAAAACAGTTGCACAGAATTGAGCAAAGGAGGGTAACGAGCATCGTCGACCACATTGACCAAAAATTGGAACTATTGGGCTCACAATTAGCACATTCGCGATGTGTAATTCTCCAAATATGCCGCTGAAAAAATTGGCTTAGTCTCTTGTGGGCTGCGACCTGCATTCAAATCAATGCGTTCTGTCCGTTGTGTAGCCAAAAAAATACATCAAATACGCTCTTGGTCAACAACAGTTTCTGCATCAATTTCTAGGCACGAAACTGGGGGTTTAATCAATACGTTTCCGCGAATGTGCTAAGGAAATCTATATGTACTCAACTCTGAGCGATTTTTTCTCGTCTTCTAGCCAGCGCCGCTTCAAGATCGCTTATATGATTCGTTTGAGTCGTGAGAATACGAGTAGCTTCCGAACGCTTTGGTGGAGGTGGAGGAGCTTTTTTGGGAGTAGGAGTGCCTGTCGATGGAGTCAACGTTTGTGGAGGTGAAACACATACTGGAGTCCTCAGTGGCGAAGCGTTTGGAGAAACGATGGATTGGTGAAGTGGTTTCGATTGTGACGCGAAGTCAGCGCGTGAATCAGCCTAAAATATAGGTTTGAAAGGAAGTTGCGAAAAAGAAGCGTATGTAAATATGCTATAAAAAACACCTTCGAAGTTAGACGACTAAGACGTATACATTTACGTTCGAAGAATACACTTTTAAAATGACAAATACAACTGCAAAAAGCTTACCAGACTAGGTGTTGAATTCCTGCTACATACAGGTGGTGGTGCAGGGAATTCTTCATCGGAATCTTCGTCGTCAAGAGTTCCTGAAGAAAGTACAACAAAAATATAGCTTTTTAGGACAACTATTTAAAAAAAAAACTGACTGAAAAACAGAACCTACCTACGGATTGTCCTCCATTTGAAGATGAAGAGTGACTGACCCGACGCAGTACATCGATCGGAGCACGTTTTATTGTTCCAGTGGGTTGCTCTTCGTACTGAAGATTCAAATATTACAACCTTTAATAGAGCAATGAGATCCACTGAAGACTAATTTTCGAGTTACAAAATAGTAAGACATAATCGTTTTGTCAATACAAAAGACTTCACGTCTTCCTACTTAGATGCAAGACATTTCCACAGATTGTACAACAACCTCCTAACGGTTTACCACTCCATCGTGGCGGGAAGCTGCTTCGGACTACGACGTGCAGCAAAGGAATTCGTTCTCCAGCAAGGCCTCCCAAGCTGAAGAGTCCGGCGTTTCCATCAGGAAGCCCAGATAAGAGTAAATCAGTACCAGGATCCACCACCGCTCTGGCATCTAACTAGTCACATGGTCCCTTTGACCCACTAAGGCGGCGACTCCCGTGGTGATAGCGACCTGGACAGACTTAAGCCAGGCTGACCTCGGAATCCCAGGGAACCACAATGGTTAAACTAGCAACACTCCGAAAAAATGGAAATTGTACAGGGGCCCGTATAACTACGACAAAAACTTTTCAAAATTTTTTAAAAACACAAAGAATCCCTTACGTCTTGGAATATAACCGCAGTGGAATTCGTGACGCTGACGCATCGGTCAGTTGACATTGTGCTAAGTCGACTTGTTTGTGAGGGTGAATTCATTACGGAAGACTGAAGAAAAATCGATGGACGTGTCAGAAATGAGGTGTAAACGTATAAAAACCTTAAGTAGCGTGTAGCGTAAACCCAAAAGAAAATTCACCTCAATTGAATACAGAAATCCCACTCTATAATGAATCACATGAAAATGAACTATTTTTCGCGTAACTCTGAATTTGTGAAGCTGCTTTCCGACTACTGACTTCAAAGAACACAACTTCAAGAAATTGTTGCCACAATTTGGTGCTCTGTTGGAGCAGAGTAAGCGTAAATATAGCGTTCAGCATTTGAAGCTAAATAGACCTAGACGATGTTCGATATAAGGGATTAAATATGACTTATAAAAAGCAATCTGATGGAAAAAAGACCTGTCTTAGAATGATATGATGAAAAAAGAGCAACAAATAAAAGAATAGAAATCAGACGCTCACCTTTCCTGTACAATCGGAAAAGTTGGAGCCTAGATCGTGTCGACTTGACGATGGTGTAGGAACGTGCTCACGAATATTGACACTGATTGCTGATTGCTGTGACATCGAAGAGGCGACGCGTGGTGGTGGAACACACACCGGTTGTGTTGACAGTGCTAGTCGACGACGTTCACAAGCTTTTGCATAGTTCGTCATTAAATCAGCACCGTTCTAAAGATTAACGCTACCGGTACTGAAGTTTGCAGGAGGTTCAAAAAGAATGTTTATCATAAGACAGCATGTTTAGCTCAAAGAAAACCAATGAATGAGAAAAAAATCGCACAATTCCTTTCCTGAATATTACATCAGAATGTTGTTCAACTTGCTGGCTACAACTTAATGCATGTCATCAAGAGAAAACCAGTGTAAAACTTTCTTTTGTATATGTTGTAAGTAGAGTCATACGACACCATATGGGTGGAAAACATGTTTAATAACCTGGTGGAAAACTGAACCCGAAAAGCAAAAAAGTTAAAATGAGGTTCAGGCCGCAAATGACTAGTATATGAGCCTCTACAATAGGGAACAAGTTTAAACCTCGATGAGTGCTTTGACATTGATAAGTTCTAAATTATCTAGGCTAAGGATAACCTCAACCACCAAACCAACTAAGTGGCTTTACTATAAAAATGAAACAATTTATTAACCAATAAATATTACCTTAGCGATTCGTAACCCCACCAACCATCGACGATACGACGCTTCATCGTCAGCGCAAATGTATTTGATGTATTGCGATCGCTTCATTTGAAGTTGTGTTAACTAAAACATAGTATCAGGAAATAAACTAAAACACTACAATGGATGGGAGTGCCTACCTTTATTGCAATACACCACTCTGTCGGAGATTTATATTTCTTCGCCCAACCAACTCCTGTGTACACCTGATTAGAGTGCAGATTCATCAAACATTGTAGATCCTTAGATGACCTGTGAGTAAAGACAATGTCAAGCAGAAATAAGGACAACAAAACAAAGTAACACCAAAGAAGACATTTGTTATGTTTGAAGTTTGAGTTGCGCTCCTGCAAAGGAATTATTAGTAAGGAATTACTTTTTTCCCTTCGGAGCATAGTACAGTCCACTGGGACGTAGCACAAAGAAGTGTTTCTTCCAACTTTTTCGACCGTCAGACTTCAAATACAAGAAACCTTCCAGTTCAGGTGGACATACGGTTTCACGGGTGAAAAAGTCCTAAAGGAAATAATCTTCGATTCCTTAGCCAGTTAGCTATAGATTCATTGTGAAAACAGCGCTTATAACAGGGAACTTAACCTATATATTTTTCTTTCTTCCTCCTGAATATCAGTATTTTTTAAACTGAACACAAATATCCTAAGTATAACGTAGGGATAGTCCTTGTCTACGGTGACCAGTTTATTTCTTTAGAACACAGGTTTTACCTGTAAAAACTGGGTCTTCAGTTCTCTTGTCCAATTGTTACCAGCAGGAACTTCCAAGTCGACAGTCTTCTGAGTGACAAGGTATAGATCAGGACGATCTAAATTAATACTAAGCACTAAAAGAAATATGACAACCCCGTTATTGAAACCAAATCAACTTTTTAATTGAAGATTTCTTCCAAACAACAGTAAAAATTCACCAAGAGTAATCTAGTCAAGCACCAACCGGCATTCTTTCAACGAAAAGTGGTAAGTAAAGCAAAAAAGTAAAGGTAAGTAATCAACTACCGATAAAAGGATATTTGTCCGAACGACGTATGAAATGCAACTTGTTCGGAGAATCCTGTACCCACATCTGAATGTTCTCGACCAAATTTTCATGGTCCTCGTAAATTCTACCTTAAAAAAGAGGAAAATCGAACATATCCACGTATTGAAAGATGACACCTTTGTTGAGCAAATAAAACTAGCTAGTGAATACCTTTCGGATTGTTAAGCTAACATGAGCTTACTAAAAATGTTTATACGGCTAACGTCACGACGTCTTCATCTTCATCAGAGCCAATGCACCACCGACTGTGCATCATCAACTCGGTTCATCGGCTCTGCTGAAGGTGAAGATGTCCAAAGTTTAGCCGAATAAAGATCTATACTAATAGTTCCCAGCATCAACCTTCTTTCTATTCTATTAACTCCCTCGCCCTTTACCTTCGTATCGATCGTTAATGTGGGGTGGTGCAGTTGTCAACCACATGCAACTCTGAGCGGCTGTTCTTCCTCGGTGGAGGACAGGTGAAAAAAACGGTGGATTTTTCGAGAAGCCGTTGATCTTGTAATTATCGTTCAGATTTTCATCTTTCTGTTTGTGCCGTTGAAGCGTTTGACCTAGTGAGTTGCATATCACTACACCCTTCCAGGCTCTCAAGAAGGCGATTCTGCCGAAACGTCAGCTGTGGTTGTGTTGTATGGGTGTTATTGTATGGAAGTAAACGTATGCTGTTTAAAAACCTCGCGATTGCTGAGAGAGAAAACGACGGATCTGTGCTAACTTCATGTTAGGTTAAAATCCAAACAGCTATTCATTACAACTACCGAAGCTAAACGACGGTCTGTTTGACAATTATAATTAGTTAAACCTATAAAATTACAACAACTTTCATTTATTACAGTGCTAAAAACCACATCAACTTTTTAATGTAGGTCTTACAAAACGAATATTTCAGACGCTCATATATTCATACTGATGCACGAGAATGACCATACCAACTATTCCCAACCATCCAAACATCCATCGTGCTTCTTTATCTCTCTTATTTTCCTACATTATCGAAGAATATTCCACCAACAATACATTCGAAGAAAAGAACCCACGTATGTAGAGATCCGGAAATTCCTCGACGATGCAATGATCTTCACATAAGGTGATGTGATGTTTATCAGCCAATTGCTGCATAGTCTGGAATGAATCGCTTTCCGTCTTTTTCTTTGAAAAAGATAACTTTTAGAAAGTTTTTACATAATCGCCAAAGCATCAAAATGCAAGAAGAAGACAGAAGGAAAACAGAAGGAAGGAAGAACATAAAAAGTAAGAACAGTCAAGATATGAGACGCGGAAGACTCACATCCGCTACTGTCCATCGTTCGTCAACGAGCATCTGCAACGGTGCACCATCTTCGACGAAGAATTTTATAAATATTCGGGTCACCTAAAGGAAAATGATTAACTTTTTCCTCATCAGTTGAATATTTCAATTATTTCTATAGCACTGACAAATTTACAATAACCAGAAGTACTGCATCGAGTAGTATGCCACCGTTTGATCTTTCATATACCTAGTTCATTACTTGTAGACTGGTGGCGCACTGGTAGTGATGCCGCCCATCACCACCAAGATACTGGCTTGATCCCACAGCAGCACCATCAAGCCTATTGTCCTATCGAAATTGTGAAGTAAGTACGAAACTTGTCTGGGAAAGGTTCACTCCCTGCAGTTCAACTGGAAATGCTCTAGCACAGCTATGGCAAGACCAGTAAGAATCGACTCCACGAACATTTAACGACATTAATGATTGAAGGAATATCCTGAAGAAGAAGTCGAACCCATACGGAAAAGTTGGAAGACATTCGTGCATGATAGATGCTACGAACTGAACTGAATGCAAGAAGTGCTGCGACATACACGGTAACTGTGAAAGACGAGTCGTGTGGAAAAAAAGTTTCGCTTCCAATAGCATAACGCACTATATGTCGTCTACTATTACAATATGGTGGTTTACTAGCTGCAAAGTTATTTTTAACTATTTTCAGTTAAAATAGTATTTAAAATTGGTCTATTTTAAATAGAAAAACGCTTTTACAATGACTTCTAAGCAAATTTTTCCGGAAACGTCTGCAGGAATCAATCCAAAAAAAGTCTGTTTTTTGCTAATATCGTCTCGAAAAAGTTCTCCAGATATACTGTTAACTTCCTGAACCCATCCTAACCCATAAAGTATCGGTAGCAGAAGGACGATTCCCCACGACACAGTCCTCACATCTACACACGAGAGAGGTAATCCGTCGGCAACTTCCAGATTAGCACCCTGTCTCAAGTCTAAGCCAAAAAACATGCCAGTAATTGTAAACATGACATATCATGCTTTCATGCAATGCTTCAACGGATCGACGACGGCATGAGTCATGTGGCTCATACAAAGTACTGTATTGTTGTGTGTAATGTACGGACGAAAGTAACGGAGTTGTAAGAGACGCCATGCAATACACACGTGGTCGATCTCGCGCCTCAGGCACACCAAGCTTTACATCTTACTGGGATTCGTAAAGCGATACCATACTTTCCTGAGAGAATAGCAGCACTAACTTGCTACATCGCTTGGTTACCGTAATTCATTGTATAACGCATATATGCATTCAATCACCTCTTGCGATGCCTAACCCTTTCACGACTTCGGCCATTTTCGCTTGGCAAACCCATTGGATCGCGTTTCATTGGAGCACGGTTGAGATGCGCATTGAAATCAAGACGTACGGTCCGGAACGTACAACTGCGTATATATTGAGATCAAATGCGCATGGTCATAGAACTAATGAAGTAGAATGCATGGCGCATTCTTCGATTGATTAACGCATAACGCTTCATCCTTTTATCCTTTATGTAATGTACGTAATTATTTACCAACTTTTACATATAATTCTCTTTATCTGTATTTGTTACACACCAAAGTACTAAGTGCTATGCTATATAACAAATACTTGGATAGTTGGACGGCCCACCCTCACTGGTTGTACTGGCCCCAGCATAATTTCCATCTTTTCATAGTTTCGCTGATTTAGTGGTTGTGGTTCCTTAGAGTCCTGAGGTCAGCGTGGCCTAAGTCTGTCCCAGGTCGTCACCACCACAGGCAGGCTATAGCCCCGCCTTACCTACCTTACCGCCGTCCTACCGTGGATCAGAGAGATTTTCCGCCATGCGACTAGTTTGATACCAGGACGATGGGTTTTGCTGGTACTGGTTTACTTTTAGCTGGGCCTGCTGATAGAAACGCCAGACTCCTTCTTAGTCTGGGAGACCATGCTTGGGAATGAATCCGCCCGCGGTACATCGCAGCTGGACACCCAGGAAGACCTTCTGGCCACGAAGAGGCGGCAAACCGTTAGGACGATAACAAAAACAAAAAAGTGGAATATATATAAAGATATTATTCTATACGAAAATTGAATTTGTATTTAATGAATTTCGGAAGACTCCGGAAATCCTAAGAGAAATCTTGAGAAGTTTGAAAAACGAGAAGCACTGTCCTTAATGTGTTAGGATAGAGGTAGACTTTTCGATTAGCCCTATGATAGAATTTGAAGCTTCCCACCAAATCTTTAAATCCCGAAAATTTTCCTGCGAAGAAACCCACTACGAAAAAGCAAGTGTGTGAAGAAAAAGGGAGAATGCGAAAAGACAGAAGTTGAAAAACGCCAAGAATGAGATAAAATAAACAAACGAAACAGGTAGATTTTCTGTTCAGACCACCACTAAGTGAATTTTGAATTTATACGAAAAGCTACCTTCGCTTCTCGCATTTTTTCCAGTGCCTGTTTGATTTTGGCGATTTTCAGATCTTCGACAGATGCTTCTGTAGATATGGGAGAAATCTGAACATGTAAGGTAAAAAATCGACTGATTTTCTAGAACAGAAACAGCGGCGATCGATAACTCAGGATGATGACAGCTTTTAGGTAACGTTTGGTTGGCGCTGATTCACTAGCACGGACCACCGGTCGGCCATCAGAACCGCCTCATTCGCTGTTTGAAATTCATCAAATTGACAAGGTCTACTCAGGTATTACCGAGTCGATAGAGTCGATTAATCAGTCCGTATTGGTTTGCGCTACGAATAGCTCTACCAGATGGCCCAAAATGTTCCATACTTAGACATATTTCTCCAGTTTCTGTGTAATTACTGTGAATTATGACCAGTGTTCATGTTTTTAGACAGCGCAACCATCCAGTTACTGTGGCAAGGATTCATATAGTTATTTAAACAAGGATATCCACTATTTGGTTCTAACCTGATGATAATAAGATATCCTGGTAGTTCATAACGGTTCATAAGCTCATAATATCCAAAAAAATAGGAATTATTTTCATATTTATAATTTCCGATCGGTGCGAGGTCGCCTGCAACAGGTAAATCCCACATATTATTCGAGGCAACCCAAGGTACCCTAGAGTAAATGGACTTAACCAGTCCCAACGGAGCCTAGAGCCACCTATGAGCACCTCATCGAAAATTTAACCAAAATAAAGGGCCAATTATGAAAAATGAGATGGCTGATGTGTTTGTCGAGTCATCAGAACCTACTAGGCAACCTAGTTTTCACTATCGATAAATTATTTTACTACTTGCGGCCCGAATCACTAAGTGACTATGGGGCCAAAAATAAAGGAAAATGATTTCTCCAAGCTCTCAAAGCACACCATTGTATGTAAACTGCATGAGGTGGAAATTTCAATGGTCAATTTCTCTTTATTAATATCCGAAATAATCTGTATTTTGATTGCTTTCGAATGTGATCGTTAACAGATTTAAGTCATTTTTCTCATCTGATCGGGGAGAGGTGTACGTAACCTCGAGCAATTTTCATATGCGTTCTCCTAACCGTCGTCACGATTCATTCGTCGCTTTTATCAGTTTGAGAACCCCGTTTATACTTCACACTCATTGTTGCGTGACGCAATAAATGTGTCAGAGCACCGCAATTACACAAACTGTCACACATTCGTCTGTATACTCTTCTACAATCAGCAGTGTTATTATAATTGGTACAATTAGTAGCAATTAAACATGACGTCCAGACAGTAGGATTACGGTATGATTTGGACACCAGAAGGCAAACGACTTGAATCCAGTGAATGGTGTGTTCGGAATTCATCACACCTGGCTAGGGAAATCAAAAACAGCGTCAGACGACAGCAGCAGCCACTTTGGCCAAAGCGTCAGACAACGGCCAGCATCGCAAATCCTTCACGGGACCACGACAATGACCACGACGAAAATTAGCTCCGATCCACAATTACAAAGCGGTCGTAACCTTTCTATGGATTCATGAATTCATCTACGGTACTTGACTCATTATGATCCATATTGTAGTGATTAAACTTCGAACACATCGGAAATCCTTAGCTGTTTCTTCTTTTTGGTTAAACTTAAGTTTCCAATATGAATTTCCGACTTTTTTCTTATTCTTGAAATTTTGAAGTTCAGAATCTTACTGTAACGATAACTTTGGCGCTGTGTTTCTCACTAAAAAAGCAACATTTCGCGCTCTCCTGAAGTTTGTTGTTCTTGATAGCCCAGTACTACCGAGATTTGCAATTCATTAAATTCGTCTAGTTTCCTGCCTTTATAATTTCGAGCTAACAGCTGTACAAAATAAAAAAGAACATGTATCCTTCATTTTACGGAGTTCAAGTACAGATTAGACAAAGGATAAACTAGTTAGCGCCTTTGTCTTAGTTGCATTTTTGAGCACGTCACCAGTCTAATCTTTGCCTTACCAAAGAGAAGACAAGGAGTCATTCGATTTTGGGATTCATTTTTAAAACTGAGGTCATTCCTTACTCGACTCCTCCTAGAGCTTTCCCAACTCCTGTTTCAACAGGTTAGAAATTCTTATTAAAACCTCATATTCAAGTTCTTCAATTGGATTTTTCTATTCACAGAGGTGGTAGGTCCCACTCGTAAGCTCTCCTCTATCGCGACCGCCATTTCGCTCGTTTCCGATAACAATCACTCGAATTGGTCAAGCGGAAAATCGATAATTGATAGTGACGGCGGCACCTAAGCCCGACCTGGCCGGAATCTTTGCCTTTCGTTGAGTTCAGCGAAATAACAGCAAAGCGAAGAAAGTCACAGCATCATTTCCGTCCCTCTTCCGAATCGTTTCCTTCTGTTGTTCTGCGTCGAGATGAGTTTGGCGTAAAAAACAGCAACTCAAAGTGACCGCACAAACAGCAAATGTTGCCAATAAGAGTACTACGTCATACCGTAGACAATACATGGAGTCAACAGAACAAAGCCAACTGGAGAACATCAAGAAACGCCGACGAATATTTGAATTAGAAGGACGCCGACTGGGCTGGACGCGCGTCATTTTTATCCCATGCCGCAGCCACTTTTTTTCATTGCCTGGAATGGTGATGAATTTGAAAATCGTTCTACTTTGAACATCGACTATGCAAAAAAAGTAGTTCATGTCAATGAAACCAATGCAGACTAGTTCAGAGCGATTTTCAAAACTCAGGAATACTTTATAGCATGTCATTTATAACCATAATAGCACATAATTGGACCTGTTAACGAAAAAAGGGAAAATTCCTGTTAATGCACTCAAAATTCTCAGTAGGGTTTTTCTCTTCCTCTAAACAGTGCATTTGCTATATTTAGGAGTTTTTAACATTTGGCCTGAACTTAAACTATAACTCTTTGACTTTGTATGTGAATATTTGAAAATGCATTAAGAAATTTGCTTTTGAGAGTACGTTCCCACGATGAAAAAGGAGAACAAAAAGCACTAAGCCACTTCCAAAGGAGATAAAAACGCGCTCCTTTGAGAAAAAACTGCCCAAATTTTAAGAGCAGGTGAGATCTCTGGGACCATTGCACAATTTTCATCCATCTGTTATACTGTACTGTCACCCATTTCAGTGTTTTTTTTTCTGCAACGAAAAAAAAAGAGAACATCTGTGTGATTACTGAATCATAACGAAAAATGACATCTCATTCGAATCAGCGGACACTGAAATGAATTCGAACAAATTGAACTGAAACTATGACATAAATCACAGGCTAACTAATGTGTACAGCTATTGTTCTCAGTTATCGGACATCACTCATCAACTGTGAGTCGAACAGACGACGAACGTCTAAGGGCACACTACTCCACCACCCGCTGGGACACCTGGTGCCGCTCAGTGATCTGAGCACTACACATCGGACAACATCTGACCGTCATTTGGCGATGGCGTAACGTCGTCAGCCATTCAGATGGAGAACGGAGCACTTTGAAGTGCAGTAGAAGCAAAATAACACACGTCCCAGACGTCGTTGAAGGAGTTTCCCTGTTGTTTTTGAATCGTGTAGCGGTCACCTCTGTGTGGAGTGCGTCATCAAAATGGACGATATACTCGTACGAGTTGTCGGCCACCTCTGCTTTTCTACTGAACTGCCTCAGACCTTAGTATAATGCTGCTAGCCAAAACATGATCACGAAGTGATGGATGCTCGTTACACAGCGAACATCAATCGTGTGTTCGTTGTACTGAGGTCACTGGCACCTGGTCAGCAGTGTCCGTAAGCATCGACAGCAAACTTGTAATGATCGGCTAATAACTAAAAATTTGTTTTTTCAAGATTTCCAAAGAGAATCCGCTTAGTTGTTGGAGCAAATTCTCTGTGAAGCGTTATTTATACCAAGTTTATCATCTCTCTAACCAACCAATCTGATTAGTAACAAAGTTTACTACTACGCTATCTTTTTAGATGACGTTAATCGATAAATCTATAAGCTCTGTAGAAGCACAGAGGGAACCAGAGACTGATTAGACAGTTTGGGACGTTTCTTTCTGTTTCCCAGGAATATCTATGCCTTAACTTTTACGTATGCTCCTTTGTGAGAAAAATTAGCGGTCAACAGATAACAATGCTATTCAGTAGGTCTTATGTGTTGCCACTTAACACATTATCGAAAACGTATGAAGTTCTTTGTCCCGAACTTCCAGTACTTGTGATCGCCTTCCTTTGAGATATTCATCAACTGAACTGATTAGAAAATGCATTTTTCTAGGTCTAAGTCACTGGAGTGAAAAACGTCAACATTAAAAGGCTTTTAATCGTTTAGAAGCCGATGAGATTATGGACGATGTATCTCATGGAGAAAAAGCTGATGAGGACAACTTTTATTGCGCGTGTCATCCAGTAGAAAAACAAGGAACCATTGTGCCGGCTGTTCTATGAAGCAAAGCATAAGATAACAGTTCGATAACTGTTACAAAACGCTCAAAGAGGATTAACACCAAGTGTAGCTGTTGTAGGAGACTTCCTTCCCTTGATTTCTTTAATAAAACTACAGAAATTACAATGCTTAACTTTCTATTTTTGTCAATTAATTTTTCATGGGAGGGTACTATGCAAAATACAACCACAATGATGCTAAGATGTCCGCAAAACTCTGGAACTCCTCCAGACCAGCTTCGAACCCGCGATTACCCTTTTCGGAACCGACCTTCGGTTCTGAATTTTGCAAATATCTCGGTATCACAGTGGTTACAAAACCTATAGCTTGCAAAGTTTACAAAGAACTTTTCCTTATCAAACATTATCACGACACCAATGTGTACAAAGCTACTGGTATCGATTTGATGCAAAAACAATCAAACAAAACTGATCTGTAGTAGAACATGGTAGCGAGAAAAAATTGTGAGCCATAGTGCTCTGAAAATGACTCGTAATTACTAAGCTATGGAAATGGGTGGGAATCAATTCTGGAGTTTGGGGCCATAGACAGAAGCACGTTAAGCGAATTTTTCTTCCTTTCTTTTTCTTTTGGCTTTTCTTCGGGATTTCTAGGAGAAAGTTCTATTTAATCGATCATCCTTAACACCACAAGAAGTCTAACGTTCTATTCTAGCCGAATAATTGAACAAAATCCCTGGTGAATTGGAAACCGCATGAAAACTTGCAACTTCTCTTCTCAGCTTTATGGCATCACATAATCGATGCCGCATATTCACTACAAGCATAACTGCATAAGATTCTTTTCTCCGCATGTTCGACGTGGCGTTATCGCTGACGTAAGACGACGGATCGCCATGACAGAAGATGCGAACGAAGAACCGTTTCAAGAGCGACAGAAGGCTGCTGGCAGACTAGATGACTACCTATCACTGTAGTGGAACACCACTGTGTAGGAGTTTTATGGTTCTATTCTAACTTCATTACGATTAGGTCAGTTTAATATCCACCGGTACACCGTAATTTTTCAGGAATGCAACTAGACACCCTAGAAGAGAGGTAGTTTTGGTTTGAGCGTCTCAGTGAATGCCATTGATTTACGAGCGTCTTGTTAGGTGCGGTAATATATTTAAGTTGTCGTCACTGAGCTATCGATCGATTGATTTAAATATTTTGAAGATCGTTGAACAAATATAGTTCTACAAACCCTTTCTGAGTGATTCTAAAAAGTTTAAAAAAAACAGCTGCAATGTGATTGGGAAGTAAATTCAAGAGCGTAAAAATTAATATTTTGCAAAAAAATACTTCGGAAAAAAGTAGCCAGCTCTTGTCTCTACAAACATATGTTTGTTAGACGAAAGAAATCAATGACATACCTGGGTTGGACTTGGAGTGTGAAGTGATTCACGACAACTGTCATTACTGGAGAATGCAGAGTTTCGGCATCTAGCTGATTCTGTAGACGAAGCATCACCGAAGGCACTATCGCCATCCGGAGATGAACATAAAGATGTTGTACAGGTTGGCAACTGAAATCGGAAACTGTTAACTTTAGTGGAAAAACTAATCCATAATGAGTTTGACAGAATTCAGAAGAAAAGAGTACTTCGTTTTTTATCACATTGAACCGAAATATTCCATGCAAAGAAGATTCAAACACGTCAAAGTAGCGAATGTTCTCGCACGATTCATTATACCCTTACGGTCGTCATAAACGGCATCAATGATTGAATGTCAATGGAAACAATCTGTGTGTCATTCCTTTTTCTCCTCTTGTGACCTTTCCCAGTACGTCAAAATACCAACGCTATGCTTGAACGTTGCGTAAGCGCAATGTAAACATTCTCCCAGCAACGGGGCACTTACAAAACGTTTAAACGTCTTGTACTTTTATGTCTTCGGCGTAGTTTTATAGAGTTTCTATAAAGGTTCCTTCCTCTTACTTCTCCGTTAATTTTTGTAGTTGAGAAGCAGACGGTTCCAACTTAGGGTTTAAGAATTTCCCCCATGTTGAACTAGTCGGTAAAAATCAATCTTCAGTCGGTGTTAATTCTCCTTTCCTATCGAGCTCGACCATGAACGTGCAACTCGTTGCTCATAACCCTCGCTGAGACTACGATCACCGTAATGAACTCGGCTTTTGTGGTTTTACTGCCATAAATGACGGGGCTGATGACTGTGATGAAGGTCATCGATATCTGCGACAGAATCTCGTCATGCTCCTCATTCACTAACCATAATGGTCCGTTTGTATGTGCAGAATTGATGGTTACTTCGAATAAAGTGATAGTATTAGACTACAATGGGTAGTCGTTACATCGAGCGCAAGAGAAGATCGTAAATTGCATATAAAATAGTCAAAAATGATTCGGTTCACTTTCATTACACATGGAATTCCAGTGCTGTAAAAGTTAACGAAAGTCTTGTATGGAATATATTACATTGAAAATTAATTCAACCCTAGTGACAACGTCGTAACTGCAAAAAGTTCTTGCAGTTCTGCAGTTCCTGCTGAGATCTTACTTCCCTTGCTAAGTTTCTTATCGTCTTTTCATTAAGAAAATATACAATAAATCTCTATTTCTGATTTCGTTCCTACTTCTTACACAATCTCTGAAAAACCGAGAAGACCAGTTCTTCGCCATTTTCAGGCAATAATGATTAACCGCTCAAATTTCTGGCACTAAGTGAGATACCATTCTTTTAGCAATTTCCCAAGAACTGCCATTAATTTTTTTCCATGAAGAGATGTTAGGTGGTTGTTGGACTTAGGGACAACGGATTGGTGGTTGTTCTCGAGGGAATTCCAATGAGTCAAATTTCGAACGCGAATGAAAACGTCCTAATCAGCACTCTCTTACACCAAAGTCCAGTTAGACATTAGAAAAAACTCTTGGAGTTTTGAATTCACAATGAAAGCTGAAAATGCTTCAAAGATTTTCACCATTTCACCTTGAACTGAAATTTATGCGTTGAGTTTTCTCTGCTTGAGTTATGAAAGCGTCTGGTTAAGTAGATTGTATGTCAATTTGACCTTTTTAAACTCTGAAGAAGGCGAGATCGCCAAAACGTTAGCCGTTGGATAAGTCTTGTTACTGACAACCTCATGTCTGCTCAAGAATAGAACACTGATTTATTGAATAATGCCGAGGTTAACAGAAAGTCGGTGTTAGGAATTGCTACAAGAAGATGCAAGTGGCACGAAGCAAAACGAAAATCGTGATCGTCCAAATCCTGGTTCGCTTCAAGAATCAAATGCTGATTTCACGGTTTTCCACACCAGGAGTTCCGAGTACTCTAACCGTCGTGCGATGAATGGACGAACTGAGCGCCGAGATGTCATCACGCGCGGTTCGGTCGTTGTCGTTCTTGATCTTGATGGATGAGTATGTCTTATTTATGTCCGTTCCCATAGTTTCATGCGTAGATAATTAGTAAATGCACGACTATATTTGGTTAGACTACTTAAACGCTTATAGCAAAAACTCATTCACCCTCGTAAACAATGATGATATCGCCGTGACAATAGTTTAAGCAGAGTAAAATAACTATAATAATATCCGATCTCTGTATAGACATAATCGGAGCTCGTTTTGCTAACTTTGTATTTCTTCTAAACGATTAAACTTCCCCTGGATTTACAAGGAATGTGCGCGATGAACATCTAAAAACGCTTTAACACGGCTACGTGAGGCTTTCTTGGAAAACTGTGCTGGACCAAAACATCCCTACCGGAATGACATCCATGATTGAAGATTTGAACGTAAGGAATCGGATAGAACAAGGACTGGATTCTACATTATGTAAGAGAAGCCGTTTATATGTATCTATGTAAGTTCCTAGTTTTCTTACCTTTCGAACTTCTTACCGTCTTCTGTGACATGAAGCCATTGTCAACCCTCCAGTTTGTCGTCACCCATTAGGATTTCACTAATTAATAGGTAACTTTCTGACAATATTCGTTTCTTCATTGTAAGCTCATTCAACAAGTCGATCATTCAGATTGTTACCGAAGATGTTTCATACAGAAAGACCCTTTGTTACGATTTATGTCTTTCACGTAACGAGCACATGTCGTGTTGAGGGCCTTATCGGCGACGTTTTGCTACTTAATGATCTTCTTCGCTAAATGCCACAAACCACGCACTACCATCACCATACCTATACAGACACAGAAAAATAGGCATACACACACAGACACTCACATATATATTTATACACATATATATATATACATGTATATATATGTGTATAGATGTATATATGCATACATATATATATATATATATGAAATTTACATATACATATATAAACCCACATGTCCATGCATATTGTTTAACACTGTCAATCATAAGCCTAACCACCTCATTGAAGTTGCAATGTCAAGGTAGAAGCAGTAAAATTTATATGAACCCTTTACGATAAGTAATAGAACAACACTAAAAACCTTCTGGAAGATGGAACTTTTCGCCTTTTATGTAAAACAATTTGTTATATTAGCAAAGACCAATGTTAAATCAATGAAATCGAAGAACATTTTGTTGAAAGATGCAAAAACTTGGGCCATAGGAAGAAATTTATTGTAGTACGGTAGCGGAGTTATACGGTAGCCCTGAAGTTTTCACCAACTAGACGACATAGCGAAGTGGCCATTAAAGGACTGCAAACATTTTTGAAAACATTCTTCCGAAAGACTTGTACGACTCTAACCTACGAAAGAGCAGTGAAATGACATTGAAGATGTAAACACAGTTTATTTTCTTCATATCCTCATTAATGCTCCCGGAATTACTGTATTTTGTGTAATGTTGATCTTCCACGACGAGATAAACAAAATCTCCATCACTTGGTGAGGAATGGTGTTTGTCTATTTCATAACATTTGGGTTGTGCAAATAGTCGGCATTCATTTTGCTACGTAAATTTCAAATCTAAAAAATGATACCAGTATTTGCTTAGGTTACAGAGGATCCTACATACGTCAAATCGAGTTAACTTTATTGTCGCATAGAAATATAAACAGTTATGGATGCATGTCTTGAGATAACACTTGATTCCAACACCTTTCCCAGAGAATAAGCTCAATATTCTCAATCAGAGATCCAGCTAGTGTCAAATCAATGCTATGAACCTTCACAACCATGGGAAAAGAGACCTAGTCTCAAGGTGGAAACTTACACCTGAAACAGACCAGTCTATGACTTAACCTGAAACAGACGAGTCTATGACTTACACCTGAAATAGACGAGTCTATGACAAAAGGTCTCTGGTGGTGATGGTGTGGGGAAGAGTGTTTACGGGTGCCAAAATCCTAAGGTAATTTGTCCAGAAAGTAGAATGTCAATCAAATATAAATTGTACTGATATCCGTAGGATACTAAGGAAAGACAAATCTATGTAAAGTACTTATTTAGTACCTTAGAAACTCATCATATATTAAAGTACCTTAGTGCAAACAGTGCTCCCATGATTGGCGGTTATGTTCGCCAATACTGCTGCCACGTATTCCCTTCACCATTGGACATATATCGCTTAAGCGGTGTATTAAAAACGTTCTCAACCCAACGTTCTCAGATCTTATCAGGATCCTTGTGTGTGTGGGTGAAGGCGAATCGATTACGATAGTAATGAGAAAATTGCGTTGTTGACTGACTGACGTGCTATTGGCCATAGTGGTCTTAGTGCATTATAAGATTAGAAATCGCCGTCCCGTCAAGCGCTTACTGAGCCATGTGAGTGGGAAGACGACCAACAAGTAGAGTCTGGGAACGATTTCGGACGTTGTCGTAGTCCGTCAGAAAGTAGTTCTACAGCTATAGACTACACCACAAAACAAGTCCAAATCAATTGCTTTTTATTGAGTCATACAGCGATCATAAAACTAAAATCGACTCGGAGAGCCTCCGAACACGTTAGTAGATATGGTCTTTATGGTACAATCAGATAAAACTCTTAGAAGTCCACTTTCCTAAAGAAAGACCAGATTGAATGATAATTATAATGACCACATACCGCAGCTCTCACATCTTCTTTGCTGTCAGTGACTCGTTGGGTGGCTTGTGATTGTTCAAAAGGTTTTCGCTCAGCGTGTGTAGTTGACGAGCTGGAAGGTAACGACGGAATGCCCAGAAGAAGTTGATCGCCACCACTTGATGAGTTAAGCTGCGTCTCAAGGGCCGAAAGCTCTTCCAGTAGAGCGTCGAGTTGCCAGTCAACTGACTCTGAAGACAGAAATTGCGATATTTCGGAAATTCTGGCGCTTTAAAGCACATATTTTGCTGTAATAATGAATGTAATAAAGCCTGAGTGGATCTAACAAGAGATCCTTCATTCATGTTTAATCGATACAAATACGATAGAATTTAGAACTTATGGACGACTCGGTGTTAATAAGCCACGGTCGGAGTCACAAAATCGTCTGTGCTAAAAATTACAACGCACTACTTTTTTCAGAAGGAAAGGAAACTTGCGATTCAACGGCCAAAACACTTGGACTACTTAGGCGACGCTTACGAAAGACACTCAGAACTTCATAAAATTTGATTTGATGCCTTCCTTAGAAATGTCATTTTTAACGAATGTAACTGAGCACTTAATGCATTTCAGGGCAAATCTCAGTCTTTTCCATCTCTCTAAAGTGCAATACGATGACCTTTTGGCTTTTCTTTATTCACTCAAAAAAAGTTAAAGAACATAACAAAATCTAATGGGCCATAGACACAATTAATTCAGTGATTGCTTCCTCGCAGGACAATGGTAAATCCTCACAAAACTACCAAGAAATCCTTTACAACAGTCAATTTTTGGTGCATTGGCCATTTTGTGTCCAAATTTGAAAAAAAGGAATCGGACGGTTGAAAAGAAATTGAAGTAACTGGAACAATCCCATTTTATCGCTTATCTACGAAGCGATAAAGCAAGAAAGTACTGATACCAAAAAGAACCCTTGAACTAGAACTAAATTGTGTTGCGAGCAGATATGGCTCTATGGGAAGTCTCTAAAGACTGTCCTGAAAGGAAGGACTGAGCAAAAAACTGTTAATGATTGGATGTGGACTTTGGTAGATCCACTGAAATACTTCAATTTTATGATAAATCCAAAACAAACAACTGTCATGAATGTTTTATTTTACAACCTAGAATATATTTTACAATCCTGGCTCTGATTTTCTCAAGGACAATATCAGTATTAGTATAACTGTCGTTATCAGCGCAAGAAATCTGCATGTTTCCGATTCGGTCGGCAACTCAGTGAAAATCAAAGCGAACCACCAACCAGAATCGTGTCTCCGCTATCGAAACAACCGGATGGTGTTCGTATGCGAAATTTAGCCATGACCTCATTAATTGGAGATCAATTGCAAGCAATCAATAAAGTGGTCGATTTAATCGGTAATTGAATCGATGCCCTACCTCGTTGTAGTTTATAGCGGCGATATGCGAGCATTGTCGGTTCAGTTCATATGATGGTTGGGAGTTCGTTCTATGATAGGATAATTAACAATGTCAATGTCGACATCATAGCGATCAGATAGACGAGTGTGACGAGAGACGAGAAAATAGAAGCGATAAAGTTGGGAGCCAGACCAATCAGCAAAGGAATGCGAAGTGATGAAATTGAATAGTTGTCGGAGTTTTTCCAGCCGAAAATCCAGAAACGACGGACTTTTGGTTGGTGTTATGAGTGCAGTGATAACACTGTACTGATAACAACCACGAAATGGCGACCATCAAAGCAATTCCCGTTCCCTAGCGGTCGAGTTAGTACTGGTGGAGAACTGGAGGCTTTAGGGTAACGCAGATGGGATTAAATGTCGTAAAATTGTATGTGTTACATAAGAACGCATTACGTCACCGATTTCACGAAAAATTGTAATAGGTTCGGTCGACTGGCGCACGACCGACTCCAGCGAGTGCCAGATGGTCAGAAACACATGAATTTCTGAGCACGCTATACTGATGGAATGTGTTTTCAACTAATTCTAACACATATGAGATAAAAATAGAAAGAATTCAGAATTTTAGGGTTCAGGGATCGGTTTATGAATGCTAGTGTTCGCTAGTTTTCATTGTATCCAAACTGTATCAGGGAATTCAAAATGATTGAAAATGTTTACCGATACGGGTCAAGCGAAAGGCACCATGAGTGATCAGGATTAGCCAACAAAACATGCCCTAGTGCCAAGTGAAGTACTAGTTCGAGTACCTTCTACACAATAAGCTAGGGTCAAACATGTGGGTGACGGCAATTACTGCCTAGCTGAATTTCCTTTTGAATCATCAACCATTCTCCTGAAATCGTGAAAGCAAGGAAAAGCAAGAACCGATAGGCTTTAGACGTATGTTTTTTGAGGGGCATAAACATAATTTGAACTTTACTTCAAAGATGTTCCGACTCTAGAAATTTCCTGAAGTTATTCAATGTTCTTTGAATAGAAGACAGGTAGAGAAATATTGCGTCGAAATATTTTCTTCTGAATATTCGTTAAAGGACAGTCCTTTATTTTTTCGAAGGAAGCAAACTGCTGCTTGTCGTCGAAAGAAAGGAAGAAAAAAGACATTCAGATCAATCGCCGAACCATGCTGTGTGAGTTTACACGAAGGAAAACTATCGCTAATCCAGATAATCACTGAAGAAAAGACTGGTCGTTGAAGTCGTTGAAGCAGCCACGAGTTGTCCGGCCAGTGTTGCGACCACACCTCGCTAAAGCCGTTCAAATGTGGCAAAAGAAAAGACAATCTAACAACAATGGAACTAACAACTATTTGAATGGCCGTAAGGTGGAGGAATGATGAACGAAGGAGATTCAAGGTCAATGTAAAGAGATGAACTTTCATACTGACTAAAACGTTCATCTTTCCATAACTAGATGAAATCCAGAGGACAAATTACAGACATGAGGCTCAATTCTATACGCAACGAAACGGAATGTAGGCGGAGTCAAAGCCGAACGAGAATCATTAGTTCGATTCGGAAACAACTCTATACAAAACCAAAAATCAGGAATTAAAAACTTCTTTTTCCAAGGATGGACGAAACCAGAGAAGAAACATGGTGCTCAGAGAGAGATGATGGAGAAATTCTGGATTCTGGTCATAGTGGAATAGCCTACGACCATTAATAGGTTATAGCCTACTAAATTTTCCGCTTAAAGCCCGAAGAGGAATTTCGCCACGAAAACTAACACTTATGAACAACTCTGAAACATTCTAGTGGCAATGTAGTTCAGTCCGAGGTAGTCTCATTCCATTTTCATCACTTACACGCTGTCAGAGAATGCTAAATGTTTGCAGTAGTGAAGTGGATGAAACGGAAGATTGTCAGTTGAACTGTCGTGGCTTACAAGCAAGAGTGTAAGACGAGTAGACCGATGAATGCGATGCATTAAGAAACAACAGCGCAAAACAGGTGTAGCATAGAGTCAGTGACCAGCCGCTTTTGGGTGGAGCACGAGCGGCAAGACGAGCGAGGTCGTCATGCCACAAGTCGCGACGCTAATGAAGAAGCGAAAGCTGCAGAGAAAATCGAGTTGAATGTGTGCCGGGGATCGTTGATAATGACATCTGAACAAGTAAGAATCGATAAGGAACACATGCACAAACGCGGCATGGATTCCAAAGATAACAAAATGATTGAACTTTTCCGCACAGCAATCACAAAAAATCCAGATAGTCGAAGTACAGACAGGAAAATAAGAGGGAAGTTGTACTATCAATCGAATGTTAAAACATCACGTTTGATCAATACACCGGTCTTAGGAGGTGCACAACTATAAAGCTGCGATTTTGGCAAGAAACCAATGCCACAGATTAGTAGCATGTTGTAATTCTGGAGTTCTACTGTAAATGTATCCTGAAGATTTCTGATGAGCACTTCTCAAAAGACTTCCAACTGTAAGGATATGATTTTGGGCGCGAATGAGTTAAGAAAGAATGCTGTGAGCATTAGCGCACTAAATGACTTGATTTACATTAGCAGATAAGATACTCAGACTGAGTCGATGGGTGGCGAATGACAGAAGGATAGACATAACAACACAATTCTTTGAAACAACAACTTCTCCAGTGGTTGGAAAACGAACTACGATAATCAGTAGGCTGGATAGTAGACTAAAATGGTATACGACGACATATCCGCGCGAACAGCTAACCTTTAATGTTGTTCATGCTGTATCTGAGAGTGTCTATCGGCGGCTTCGGTGGCACCTGTGGGCGTGGCCTGACCCGTGCCGGCAGATTGGCGACCCCTCCTCCATCTGCTGCTGCTACTGCTGCTCCTACTTCTTCTGCTCTGTTGGCCACCGCATCCTCCAGCAATGTCATCTGAAAGTTCATAGAGTTTGGTAAATGATAGTAATCTGAAGCAATAAGCCAACTGATAAGCCAGAAAATGACACAATCGGTGAGAAAAAGGCGGAAGCGTTGACAGGAATGCTATGAACAGAATTTCTGGTAAACGTGAAGCGATATACGGAAAGATCATTGGATCATTGGCACATAGTCAGTTGAATTCATTGAGGTCAACGACGATAAAATGATAGCAGAATCAATACGTGGATCGATAAATCCTCTATAGATAATGACGAAGATGACCTAGAGTTACCAGTAATTACAGTATGTCTGCTAGAGAACAAATCAACGAAATATTGACCAAACATGGCGCAATGCTTGCATTATATCCTCCAACAAACATACATTTTAAAACATATCGAATCACCTCAGTAAACTGTTTCGAGGAATTGCAAATGGATTTTGTGCCACACGAACCTCGGTACTTTACATTTTTTCCTTTTTTTTCACGCAACCGTTCCTTCTCAACTACTTTTCCGACCCAGCACTTCTCGTATTCGATTAACAAATTCCTTTCGTTGATCGTCTACAAAGGTCATCGAACATTTCACATGTTGGTTCGGGCGCTTCTTGAAGATTTTCCTTTCATCACGAATTTCGCCGATTGCGAGTCGAGTTGATTCCCCTGGAGTCATGCCTGAGATAGCCGCGCTTGAACGTTTCCACTTAGACTGCAGAGAGTGAACTTTTACCAGATAAGTCTGGTGCCAATCTACCGATCCCGAAAGGGTGAGAGGCTTTGTAAGCGTGGGGTCGAACCCGCACTATGCTCGCGATTGTCGGAGTCACTACCACTCTGCGACCAACTCCCTATTTTATGTTGAGGATGTAATGAAATCTTTCTAACTCAAGTTCCCATTATGAAAGTCGAAAATTACGTCATCAACAAAACCTTGGTCATCTTCAATCAGAATAGGAATACACTGACTGCATTGGTTTACAGTCAGACTCAATCATACGGTATAATACACATGAAAAACGCTGACAAGGGGAAAGCACAAATGATTTTGTCGCCTTAATATCATCACGCTTATCAAAGTTGAAAAAAGCACTGAAGAAAGGTAAGCTTATTTAGAAAGAAAATTCCCAAGCCTTTAAAGAAGCACTTGACTGAATCTTCAACTCAACTAAGACATTGGCTATTCTCCCATGTACGTTTCTGTTACGTTGTTAAACACCTTTCATAAAACTGCGATATTTTTCGTGAACTTCAAACTTTGAAGAACGAAAGAAAGTAGTAACTTTAGTCTTTTTTCTCACTAAGGTGACTTGATACACTACGACCTTCATCTTTTCCTTGAAGTAGCCTTTTTTATTATGGCACTCATCTAAGCTCATATTTAGTGTCCTGATTGTAATAATTGAGCACTTTTGAATAACGGCGTAAGTGCGAACGACTACGGTACACATAATAATCGTCATTCACCTCGACACTTGGCGCATTTGCAGTGAAGCTGAACAGCAAGTAAAAACACGATGGTCGCCCTATTTATAAGGTGGAAAGTGGACGGTAATATCCAGAATACAACTATCACAACCTTATTCTTTCCTCATACTCCCATTCCTTTCCTGCTCAATTGTGAACGGTCAGACAACGGTTTCATCTTTGTCTTGGTGAAAAAGTTCTTGAAACCCATTAGTTAGCCATGACAAAACGTCACATATGCTTCCTGAATTCTATTGCTGAAAACCAACAAAGACTGGTAGATGGCACAGGTAGCTGAAAGTGGAAAAGCACTTGATAAGAAAAAGTGAAAACCAAGTAACATGTGTGTATTAGTGGGATTACTGTCAATTCTACCAAGGACTAATCTTTGTAAGTGCTTGGATTCATAGCATAGCACGGAAAACGCAGATGAGAAAAAAATGATAAAGAG